GCTAGTTTTCTTGGAAATGAGACACTTCAACCTCATATGTCGAAACTTATGGCTCCTCATAATATAATGTTAGATTGGTTATGTTGAAGGTGGTGGGCTACTGTAACTTTTCAGTAAGTCACTCCTGCGAGTGTTGTCATTCAAAAGCACATCATGTTAGAATAAATATCCATTTGCTTTTGGCACAACCTGAGCTGTGGCTGCATATAACTGTAGATGCTCCGAAAGTAACTCTCGAGCCACTAGATTCGTAATTGTCCTCTTCCACTCGTACTCGACTTGATTTGGTAAACAAGGAGGATTCGACTATGAGACAAACTCTATTGTAGGCTGAGCAACTTTCACTAGCAACCACTCAGGGGAGGCCTCTTCTTCTTTTTTGGCAGGACCTGGATTCCATTGAAAAATTTTCTTTCCTGCCGAGCTCCCACTACAACTTCTAAAGTTGTGGTTTATCCGTTTTGTCTTAATATCTATCGGGGGCACAGTGCTAAATAGATTTTAACACCCAATTGACTTAATCTAGTCTTCCAAAAGTGACATAAAGGGTCTCATCTCTGACATGCTGAACCTCTCTCCGCGGGGGCAACTCAGAAAGGAGTCTATCTATCTTAAAATTATGAATTTCTATTTTCTAGGGTTGCTACACTTCTAGTGTCGATTTCTCCAACTCAAGACCATCTTAGAAAATTACTGTTAATTAGGCTGGAGTCCCCCTTATGGGCTCAGTTGGAGCTATGTGCAATTTTTTTTCATTAGTTGACAACTGATACTTCTCCTTTGTGTTCTCACCTTCATCAGTGCCTACTGTGTCGTTACTTATTTTTTCAACAACACCCTGTTTTGTGAAATAGATCATTTCACCGGTTGCACAATACTGTTCGATATGCCCAAATCCGTGACACTGGAAACATTTTTTGCTGGGACAATTTTAGGAATACTGGTTCACTCCACCTGTTCTCTACCCTGAATCAATTTTTCCTCAGTCTGGGTTAACTTTGTGTGGTGGTCTTCTGGTGATGTGATATCTCCACTTTTGAAGTTGGGGTTTGAATATCCAATATGTAGTGAGCTATTAAGTATGACATTGTATCTCCTGTTTCATCTTGGGTTAAGTTGTAATTTTACTCCCTTTTTGTTTTTGAAGAATTTTTAATTTAGTCCCCCTCTGAAATGCATTTTTCCTTAATTTGATGGCATTTAGTTTCACTATTTCACCTTGTGGGACGTCCTGACACACAAAGTCACATTCCAAGGTCCTATGCCACTCGATGATCTCGTTCGGATCTGTGACTATCGAAATATGACAAATCCACTGTTACTTCAAAATCCTGGTTTATCGGATATTCCAGATCAAATCTTTCATTCTTGGAATCCGCATGGTGGCAGAGATTCACTCCATTTCTTTAATCTTGCAAGTTACTGTTGTGGCTATTAGTGACCCGTTAGCGCTTGATATAGTTGTCGTATCTCTTCTATAATGAACTTCTAATTAGCGTCCAACTGGTCTCGGTGATGGTGTAGTTGGGGTTTTAAGTATAGGTAGGTGGAAGGAGAAAAGAAAATTTTGGGGGGCTAATATGGGGGGATTCTAGAAACCTTTGGATGGGGATAGAGTTAGGTTAGCTTGGATACCAAATGATACCGGAGTTAACCTAAACCATAATAGTACAAGCAAATATAATTATTAGAAGTTTATCCACCCACAACCCATTTTAGCCACCTATCTCCGCCCCCCAACCACCTAGCCGACCTCCACCACTCAGGGATCGAAGCCTAGTTTGAGTGCTTGGGACAACAAAAAGAGGGGCTGGAAGGGTGGAGGCAGCAAAGAGGGTACGGATAGCAACGAACAAGCTTGAAAAGGCTGCCCTGGGTTGCGACAGCAAGGGAGGAGGGCGTCGGTAGCGAAGGGGAGGAGTTGCGGCGAGGACAACCAACTGGAATTAGCGCAAGGAATAATTATTTTCGGGCGGCGGCTAGCGAGAATGACGGTGACTGTGGAGAGCAAGGCATGGGACTGCGGGACAGCCAAAGGGGAGGCTGCAAGGAAGGCTGCAAAGGGGCGGTAGTTGTTTGGGAGTGTGTGGGCTGCTGGGGTGGCGACTAACTAGAGGCAATAGCAGCAAGATGGTGGTTGGAGGGATGAACCAGGGAGCAATTTGGGGACAGATAGACACCACCTGCTGACGAGTTATAGTCGGAGCACCTTTTCAACTTCAGATACAGCCTTGGAGGGGAAAATTGGACGTCGGTGACTGTCTTGACAGAAATTGGAGCAAAAAACTGACATAAAACCCGAAAATAACATATTTATAGACTTGGGGTAAATAGGGGTGGACCAGACTCCAAATAGGAGGGAAGTTGTGCAAGAAGCTCCAGCTTCCGCATCATATAGGTTATGCTGGGACAATATTTATTTCGGGGAGGATGGTTCAAACATTTTATGGGGTTACTATAGTAGAGGTGGATGGTCAGCTTTAAGATCTTTTAGACTTTCACTTCTAGTGCTTAACTACAAGAGGAAGATGTTGGGGTTACCAGAGATCTAATAGCTTGGATAATTTTCCATATTGTAATGACTTGTTAATTTTGTTTTCAACGCAGGCCAGGCATATCCAACTAGTCAACCTTCCTACGTATAGTAAAGAATTTTTAAAGTATTGAAATGAAATTTCTTTTTTTGTCTCGCCCTAGTTATTTACTACTTTATAGGCCAAAGTAGGACATGTTTCCCAATTGGCCGAGATAAATATGGCAGTTCCCTTTGGTAGTGTGTCTGGCCAAAATGTGCAAGGCTCATGGGAGTGTGTCCTGTTTGTCTGGGGGATAACTACTTTAATCCAAGCGGAACATTTAGAGAGTGGAGTCCCTTGCAACCATGGTTTTGTGCAGTCTTAACACGGCTCTTTTTATTTTGATCACATGGATTGTTCTTTTTGTTTTAGTTCATTTGTTACGAAAATGCAATCTGTCTTTTGAATGCTGTGTTTCCTTATTTTCTGAAGAGTATCTATGGGTTATGCTTTTGAGTGTTTGCTTTGTAACTTATTATGATGTTTGTTCCAATGATACCATACCAGTTTAGGTGCATATTATATTGCACTTGTTTAATGTTGCACTTTGATATTTTAGGTAATTTTTCATAAGAAAATTGAAAAGACACAGCCAGAGCTATTTAGATAGTTTAGCAGTCCTATTTGATACGAGAAAGTGTGCTCTATTTTGATCTATTATGATATTACCGTCGTGCTATAAGCCTATTCTATTCTTAATAATTTAGCAATGCTATGTGTTATATATATTATGCGGTGGGTTTTTTCTTTAAGAAGTTTTTTGGTATGGGTTAATTGGAGAGAATGAGTGTAAATATGTAGACATCTATGTTTTTGCATATTGGGGATTACTGTTTGTAGATCAAAATTGCTAAATTTTAATGGATTGTGTACTGACTTTGTATAGATGTATTAATGCCACATATAGCAAACATGAACTTTTAATGTGTATTAGTGTCACATATGGCACATTTATGGTGATTGGTGTTGGTGCTTTGTTTGTTTGATTAGAAGTTATATATTGTTTTTCAGTTTTGCTTGACTGAAGATAGTAGATAATGGCATCATTAGATTTTATATGGCAATCTCATATTGTGTTGCCTTTAAGTATCCTTCACCATTCATTCTAATTAAAGGTTGGATTATTGAAATTCGAATTAAGGAGTCATCTCAAAATGATTTTTTTATTTTTATTTTGTTTCTATTTTATTATTTAATACATGTGTGAGATAGGGGGTGTAAGTGAGCTGAGCTGGCTCGCAAAACGGCTTGAGCTCTCATTAATGAGTTCATGAGTCAAGCTTTCCAAGCAGCGAGCTCGAGCTCATTGAGGCTAACTCAGCTTAGTTTGTTGGCTTGCGAGCCGGCTCAACTACTTGAATTCTTGGCACGTTGATGCCTTATTTGGGGAGTTGCCATGACACTTCACCTTTTCTCTCGCTATCAATCACTTAGATGGCTTCTCCGGTGAGCTTCCATGGAAATTTCATTTGAGTTTTCTAGCCTGCTGTTAGTATCGAGAGTCAAGCTCAAGCTTATATTTTGACAAACGAGCCAAGCTCGAGTTAAGCATGACTTGAGCTCAGCTCCACTCATTCGCACCACTATGTTTGGTATTCTTATGAATTTTCTTCGTTAACAAACAAAATTTGGTCTCTTTTATTATTTGATTCATCTTCCTCACCCAATGCTGGTTACAATGCTATCACTGGAGAGGAAGCAAGATGGGGGATCAACTCGATAGCTCGAGACAATATTTATTCCCTTAGGATCTATGAATTGGAGTGTGTTAATGCCATTATCATAAGGTGCATGGAAGTAGTTGTCAAGGTAAGAGCAGTAGTTGATGTAGGCAATTATGGCTAGGATCTTGTGGGTGAGGTGAACATAGGCAAGTGGCAAGAGGGGTTGTCATTAGAGAGGGAGGTGAATCCACCAACCGTGGAGAAGGCAAAGATGGGAAGATTCCGATGACCAAGGCATTCGAGGATAGGAGGAAGAGGCTGATAGATAAGTCAGGAGTAGTGTTAAGTTTTATTTATTTATTTATTTTTTTTTTCTGAAATATTAAGACCTATAACTTATTTTTAATGTTTTTTTTCAATAAGCTCATTTATACTAAAAAAATAAATGAATGGTGATCTCATATAGGGCATAAATCTTCTTTGAACTGTGCTAATTTTATGGTTTGGCATACCTTTTTTTCTTTCCGCACCGTGAGATGCATTCTTTTTCTCACCGGATCAATGTCTCCCGCACTAGTTTTTTTTCTGCATCATCTCACTAATCAAGCCAATTAGTTACTTTTGGTTATGATCAGTGCGTGCTTTTTTATGACCTTGTTTTGAAATCCTCAGTATGAGTTTTTTTTTTTTCTCGCTAATATTTCCATGATGATTTTCTATTATCCTATTTTTATCACTGTCATTATCCTACTTGTTGCAGACATGGCAGGGCTTGCACCAGAAGGATCTCAATATGACGGTCAGCAGTATGATTCAAAAATGAATGAACTGTTAGTGAATTACAACTTTCTAACTTTTGCTATGCATTATCTTGCCCATTTTGCATTTATTTAAACCACATTTTGATCTTTTTATTTACTTTGAATGATGGTTACAGGCTTGATGGACAAGATTTTTTCACGTCATATGATGAGGTTTATGATACTTTTGATTCCATGGGTCTGCAAGAGAACTTATTGCGAGGCATTTATGCTTATGGTATTTATTCTCCTGAAACATATTGGCATTTCATGACTCCTAGTCCTGTTTTCAACTTTGATCTAACATCTTCACATCTCTGCAGGCTTTGAAAAACCCTCTGCAATTCAACAAAGAGGGATTGTTCCTTTCTGTAAGGGACTTGATGTGATACAACAAGCTCAATCTGGGACTGGAAAGACGGCCACATTTTGTTCTGGGATATTGCAGCAACTCGATTATGGCTTAGTTGAATGTCAGGCTCTCGTTCTCGCTCCAACCCGAGAATTGGCACAGCAAATCGAAAAGGTTATGCGTGCACTGGGAGACTACCTTGGCGTGAAAGTTCATGCTTGTGTTGGCGGAACGAGTGTTCGTGAGGATCAGCGGATTCTCTCGAGCGGTGTTCATGTTGTCGTCGGCACACCAGGACGGGTGTTTGATATGCTGCGAAGGCATTCGCTCCGTCCTGATTATATTAGGATGTTTGTATTGGATGAGGCGGATGAGATGCTCTCACGTGGTTTCAAGGACCAGGTCTGTTTTGACTGGCTTCTATTTGGAGGCTTTGGTTCTTTTTCTTCTATATCTTTTTATTTTTTGATGCCATTATTTTTTTTTATTTTAGCTTGTTACGTCTTCTTATTTCCTAAGTTTTGCATTTTATTTATTATCAGTTCAAGCAGAGCTGATTTTGCATCAACAGGAAGAGTTTTTACTTGGTAAAAGGACTTAAAATTTTCTCCATTTGTTGTTATATTAGTTGCCTAGATCAGGGACAGCTCATATGAAAAATTCCCTTTAGAATTTTCTATAAGAAACTTCCAATCTCCATTCATGCTGCACTGAGATTAGTAAAGTGCCAAAATGCTCTTCAGACTATTTACGTGGGGTTATTTTGGTCATAGAGTGGATAAAAGTCTCAAATTAGTCCCCAAACTCTTTTAATTAAGTCTGAAATGGACTTTCCCTTGGACCATTTCATCCTATATTTTAAAAATATGGGGCTAAATTGACACTTAAAAACTTTTGGACTGAAATAATCTCCTACAAAGAGCTAGGGAACCATTTGGACACTTTTCTTCATTTAGATTTATTAACTTGTTATCTCCACCCACGCATAGAGATTTACATTCTGAATATAAGTTTCAATCGACGACAGCATCCTATGAACACAAATCACAATGTAAATTGGGTGGTGTTAGGACCATTTTACGGGAACTTTTATGAGGAGTTTCCCATATGAATTGTCCCTAGCTATGGAGCTAAAATTTTTGCATGTTTTGCCATTAATTCTGATTTCTGCTGAAGATTGTTGAAACCCTGAACTTCAAATACTTGTGAATAATGGGGTCTATTATTGCCTTGGTGTTTTCATATACTGTTTTATTATGGTATAATAGGGGTAGCTTTTTCACTGTTTTGCTTTTTGAATTGTCACACTTTTTTTACACATTTGCTTTCTTGTTGTTTTTAAGAAAACTTTGTGGTAAAAATGCTATTTTTGAGAATTAGATCTGTTAAAAATATGATAGGTATAAGAAATTTGTTCTCCGAACTTTTTTTTTTTAATATTAAAATACTGACAACAGTTTAAAGAAGTTATTTTTCTCATAACAATTTAACGGTAACTTTTATATTGACCCAAAATCTCGTATAAAACTGAAGTTCTTTACACGGTGCTTTTTTATTTTAGTTGCTATCCCTTCTCTTTCAAGATCTGTGGATCCTCTTACAGCTTAAAACACAAGCTTATTGATTCTATCATCATAATATTCTGCATTACGTAGCTCAAGCATTGTTCTTGCGACTTCTCACCAATTTGAGTATTATGTTGGAGAAAACCAGCTTGCTTGTTTTTAATTATAAGCATTTTCGGGTTCATTTTCTGTCTCACATTGCCTTTAATTTTTACAGGCTTCTATCATATTTTAATACTTAACTCTCTACTTTAGATCTATGACATCTTCCAGCTCCTTCCATCGAAAGTTCAAGTTGGTGTTTTCTCGGCCACAATGCCCCCCGAAGCGCTCGACATTACTCGTAAATTCATGAACAAACCCGTAAAGATCCTCGTCAAACGCGATGAACTTACCCTCGAAGGAATAAAACAGTTCTATGTGAATATCGGCAAGGAAGAATGGAAGCTCGAGACCCTTTGTGACCTTTACGAAACATTGGCCATCACCCAAAGTGTCATTTTTGTGAACACTCGCCGCAAAGTCGATTGGCTCACCGACAAAATGAGGAGCAGCGATCATACCGTCTCTGCCACACACGGCGACATGGATCAAAACACTCGAGATATCATTATGCGAGAATTCCGATCTGGTTCTTCTCGTGTTCTCATCACCACTGACCTCCTCGCCCGCGGCATAGATGTGCAGCAGGTCTCTCTTGTCATCAACTATGACCTACCGACTCAACCGGAGAATTACCTCCATCGTATCGGTCGTAGCGGACGTTTCGGACGGAAGGGTGTGTCCATCAACTTCATCACGAATGAGGACGAGAGAATGCTGGCGGATATCCAGAGGTTCTACAATGTTGTCATTGAGGAGCTGCCATCCAATGTTGCCGATCTTCTGTGAGTATTTATTTTGCTTTTTTGCATGTTAGGCCTTCTCAAAATATTTAATAATTCCTTCAAACTTGTGTACTAAATTGTAAGGTGTTTGCGCTCATTTTGAATGTTGTTGGTAACTTTTAAGATATGTTTCATCCTATGTGACAAATTTTGTAGCTTGTGTATGGATGACCTTAAAAGGAGGCATCCTGGATGTTATCTATCCGTTATGGTTGAATTTTGTGTATTATGATTTTGATGCTTAACATTTTGAACTAGTTTAACGGCTCTTTTTTTAAATATTTATATTTGATTTTTGCGGCAATTTTGTATATAATATTGGCATGTCTTGATTTATTTTATCAGAGTAGTGAAATGTTAGGGACATTTACGTTCATACCACACAATTATGATGTATTTGCATATACCATCAATGTCTTTTAAAAGTGAAATATACATTCTCATGCAGTGGGTTTATGCCACTAAAATGAAATGAAGATATCACGCTTTAGGTCTAGATATGTAAATGCATATGAATTGTGGGGTACATATGTATATTTACCTAAATTTAATAGCAATATAAGTTTTGATTAACTAGTTGTGGGGTACATATGTATATTTACCTAAATTTAATCGCAATATAAGTTTTGATTAACCAGTTTTTTTTTTTTTATTTAATATTTTGTCATTAGAAAAATGTGACATCGTCTTTCTTAAATATTTGTTTGTAGTATCTTTTAAAAATTTATTTTATTCAAATAATATTGGATGAAAGAAACATTTATGAAAATATAATTTTTTTATTTAAAATAAATTTTGTAAGTAATTTTAAAACTTTCTTTTTCGAGCTTTTGTAATAAAGTTTTTAGATTGAAAAAAATTTTGCATCAGAATCCCGCACGTAGTGTTAATTGTGGAGTTCAATGAAATTACGTCATGTGAAGATGAAAGAAAACGAATCGGTCCGGTAACACGAGAATATTCCTCCGTGTTATTGTATGTTATTAACATGTTATTGTGTTCTGGGAATATTTTTGGTGTTATAATGACACAATAACAAATCAGTAATACTTGAATAACAAACAATAATAAAACATTATAATATCTGAATAACACGGGAGAAATATTTATTTGTGTTATCGGGTATATTTTATTTTATTTTTTATCACCATCACATGACGTGATTGCATTGGATTGCACCTAATTCTACGTGTGGAGTCCTGATGCAACATTTTACTCAATAAATAGCTTTTATTAATTAGAATTAACATGAATTGCTTTTAAACTATACTTCTTTTTATATGAACTGATTTTTTAGTTTTTATTATATACTTTTTTTGACTTTTTATTTATTTTATTATAATAATTTAGACAAAAGTAATTTTGTTATTTCAGAATAAATGCGTTTCTTGTAGAATTGAATTTGAGGTTTAGGATTAACAATTTGAGTGATATGCGTGTAAATATTAAAGTTTGCCGTTTAAATGTTTGATACATAAATATATAAGAATTGGGTGGCAAGTATGTAAATGCTCATATATTCTTAAAATAATTAATTTATACAAAAAATAATATATTTTTCGGGCAACGGGCAACCAACAAAAGCAACACTACACAAACTACTAACAAAAACTTGAATAAAGTTACATTTCAATTCTTTTTTAACAGTTCAAAACTATAATTTAACCTATTCCCTAACGTTTAAGCTCTATTGTTGTCGTACGATGTGAATAAATTATATCAATATTGTGGTGATAGCTATAGGCGATCAACACAAACTTGACTTGATATTTTTGTTTAGATCGGGAAATTATTACGTACAGTGACAATATGTCTGGATGGTAGTCTAAATGAGTAGCTATGCGATTCATGGCTGTATGGCCTCAATCGGACGTCCGATCAGTCGCGCATGGTAATTTTTTGTAGATCAGACCTAAGGAATTGAGGGATGAGAAGGTGAAACTGAAGTTGAATGATTCTCTTGATGAATCAGTCAACAAAAAAGTTTTGATTAATCTCGTTTGATTGTTTAGTTTAAAAGAAACAGAGTTTTTGTGAGTGGTTTCAATATGGTAGTATCGATTTAACTTTGAAATTTCGTGAAGGCAATACTTAACAAGTGACATTGCTTAAATAAGTGTGCATTAAAGTCATTGGCTACATATGTTAAAGTTTATATAGTTGATTGTGTAATTCAGGGAGTCGAGCATGTATTCAATTTTAATCTAAAACTTTAATTTAAATCAAGTAGAGGCCGGGTTGACTCGAACAACTCTTCAACGAGAAACACTAGTTGGTTGCGAGCAATTTTCGTGAGCACTCATGTTTCATGGGCGAATACGCTCGGCGAACATATGACCATCTTAGTTCATCAAACGAGTTCGATAGTTAGTGTTGAGGGCCAGGTTGGTGGGTAGAATTCTTGAGAAATTTAAGGTCTGTTCAGGGTAGATTTTTCACTGCTTTGTTTTTCAGATCAATATTATACCTCCGACCTAGTTGGTCTTTCAGTGTTTTATAATATGATCTATCAAAATATGATAAATATTAAAAATTATTGTCCAGCATTTTTAAAAATTAAAATGTATATAATATTCACATCAAAATTTAAAAAAGTTATTTTTATCGAATAAATTTTACAGTTAAATTTACACCCTGAATGTGATATGACAAGAAGACCACATGTACATTTTGAGAGTTGTCTTGATTTATATCGTTTGCTTTAGCTGTCAGTCATATTAACTAAAGTAAATAAATAGCCTTTTATGATAATTTAGGGTAAAAAGTTGCAATAAGAGAAATAAATACCAAAATAAAATGTGCTACTTCGCACTTGTTGGTGATGACCCAGGTTCATAAGGTGCTATGACCTTAATTATTATTGTGTCGGGGAATTTACGGAGATGGAGATATATTAACTTCTTAGTATTGTACACAAATTTAGATGACACATAATAAAAGAAGTATCGAAAATTTTTATATGAAAAAGCTTAGCTGGAATGGTTCCATTATTCATGTGTGTTACAAGACATTGATTGCCCTTGAATAACTAAAAGTAAAATTATAATAGTGTGAGTTATCAACTAGACTTTCACTAGAGAAGTGATGCAAAATATTGGGAAATTAACAACAATCCGATTAACAGAAGCCTGACTGTGCTTATGGAAGACTAAAGTTAGAGGCTATGTGGTGGAGATTTGAACTAAGTATTGTCGATGGTGGTGGGGACTAGCAAAAATGATTCAAAAATAGTAGTAGCGATAGTCAGATGATGTCAATCTGATTATGTCAGTTCGGTGATGAAGTTATGATGGTAGGAATGGTGTAAGTCGGGTGGTAGTGGTCCATTGGTAGCTGCCATAGTGACCAGGCAATGGTGGGGATGCAGAGGAGTTAGTAACATGACTTTGATTCGAAGACACTTAAAAAATTGTGTAATTAGAAAAGTAGCGGCCAAAAGATGAAGACCTAGCAACAACGATAATGGCTTGACTATTCTTTTAGGATACTGCCAACAAATGCAATGTGTCTCTGCAGCGCATCACACTTATTGTGGGTCCTTTGTTGGCATCAATTTTTTATGTCACAAGTGTAGAGTGTTCACGAGCATGAATTGAGACAGTTTACTGTTCGTGTGACACTCTAGCACTTATGCGCGGCAAGAAGCTAGGGTTGACGACGCTTTAGCCGTACCTGGGAGAATCTGCCATCAGAAAGGTTCATTCAAGAAGTGAGACATGCTCAGTGCTTACCATGATTTTTAGAAGTTACCACACATTCGTATGGAGCCTCTTGTGGCCAAAGGAAGTCACAAAATCTTCATACACGCGTTAAGAGAGAATTATGGTTTGGGACTCCCTACCCACACTGTGGCTTAGGACGACTGTTGGCAACAATTTCTCTGACAAATGAATAGCTGGAATACTTAGTTCTTAGGTTATGATACTACATTTCACTCATATAGAGTCTCCCATAGCTTACGGATTGAGAAAATCTTCCATCGGGCATTCCAGACAAAAATCAGGGTTTCCGGGTTAGATCAGCGCATACTCACCGACCGCGGGTGCCTATGCGCCCAAAATGCTCTCTTGGAGATTTAACCCAAGACATTGAAAGTCTGACATCATCTCCTTGGTGCCTGGGTGCCAAATCGGTCGCTTAGTCGCCAGTTCCGGGCACGTAGACACCAATAACAACCTAAAAATGAGCATTTTCCCGAGAGCACAGAAGTATAGTGCTACCTAGGTGGGCCCTAGGCGCCAAGAGCCTGACATCATAATGCCATATTAAAATCTAGGAGCTAGGGACCAGGCGCTAGGAGCTGGTCACTTCTCGTGTCGCAAAATATTGTTGTTTTGGCATCCTTTTCGAGCACCGAGGCAATCAGAATGTCAGGGGTCGTGATGATGAGCCTTGGGAAGGTAAAAGAGGGTGTGAAATGCCTCTTTTCACCTCTTTTTAAAAGCTTCCTTGGTTTTCTATTTGGGGCTTTTTGGTCAATTCGCATGGTGAGCTGGCTTAAACTGGGGGCAGTCTCATTTCCCCGCCTCTTTCGCTCGAGCTCTCTGTGCGCTTACGCTCGGGCTTCGTCTCCCTCTCCCTCTCCTTAATCATCAGTGGTGGTTGAAGAGAGCTTTTGGGGAGATCTTGGAGAGACTTTTGGGGGAGCAGATGAGGAGGTTTTGGGGAGAGTCGCCCGAGGTGTTGTCGGGAGAGCCCCACCCCCCCC